AAAAAAAAACAAAACTTATACAAAGAAAACATAAAGAATATTGTGTCTTGAGTGTTTTGTATGACGGCCATTGGCGTAAAACGTACTAAGATAATAAAAAATCTTATCTATAATGACGTTTGACATTTTAGAACTTTTATGTTAAATATTCTTTAATATTAACTCTTTGTAGTCCAATTTTCCACAGTCCGCTATCAATGCCATTTGAGTAAATAATCATTAGTAAATTATAAATCATCTGAGATAAGTGACATTGTAAATTTTCCATACTAAAAATGTATGTCGATATGAGACTATTTACATTAATTTTTTATAGTTATATGGATATAAGAAAGGATTTATTGTTACACTAGTGAGACACTTTTTAATAAGTTAATTGGCTAGCATTGTAGCGCTGGCACCCACCGTCAGCCACGACCTTACATCGGCACGGGGCCACGCGTGTGAATACGTCACAAGTAGACGTACGAATCCGATGCGATACTCACCTTATCTAAACATATCTACTATCTCTCCCAGATTAGAACTCCCCTCATATTACTATCAGCTATTCTAATGTCTTTTATTTAAATACTAAGAAACTTTAACATCTGTAGCTATTTAAGTATTACGGATGTCTATAGATGTCGATCACCTATGTTCATTTCGCTCCTTCCTCCCCTTATTTAATATAAAAAAAAAATAACCATAACGTGAGTGTGTCGATGGGAAGGAGGACGCCTCAAAAGAACACCGTAGAATAACATCTCACCGTTAACGTTTTTTGAGGCCAGCGAAAGTAACCGGTGACACAATTACTAGTTATGTGAGAAATTTCATTGCGGAGTAAGAAAACATCTGAATATTGATATCTTGATGTTAATAAAAGTAACAGTGGTACATAATTTAATAAACCATAATGTGCAATAGTTTTGTCTCAGCTGTTGAGAAGCTTTTCTGCAGTTTCTATTGCAGTGAGACTTTCTACAACAACTAGACACATTTTATGTAGGTTTTTTTATTGTAAAATTCTATTCGTTTGGTACTTCGATAACTGCATGTGATTTTTTAAAAAGTTTTTCGGCAATATGGTAGCGGCTAATTATAGATTGTAGTTACATTTATATTCGCGCGTGTTGTGCTCACTGGTGAAACGGTAAAACGAGCGCGGTGGCTTGCGGCCGCGGCGTTGCCATTCCAAGCGATGAAAGTCGGCACATCACTAATTGCCTTCCTATGACGCACTTTAAACGGGACACCGTTTTGATATCCAAACCCTTGACGTGTGACATTGTGTTAATCCGGAGAAATTGTAAACACGTGAAAATAAAGGCTATCAGGTAATAAAATTTATCTTTCAGCGCGAAACCTTGATATGTGTTTAATTGTCGTTCTAAATTGCGAGTTAAAACTGCCAAAATAATTACAAAAATATTGTTTTCCTTTCATTGCTTTTACGAAAATCATTTTTTTTGTACAGGAATTAAGAACTCAAGGGTAGGCTTTATGTAATATGATATGGCCTTGAGTAGGTTTGAAAGTGTGTTCTATATTCTCTCCAAGTTAAATAAACACTTAGAAGTACTACTTTACATAACATTACTTACGATGAATAGGTAATATTGATGATGTAGATAGCAATATCATTTGATTTTAACACGATACCTATAGAAAATAATACCACATCTACCTTCTCCAATTCGCAAATTAACACGTGTTATTTTTCCTGTTTCAGAAAATATCAATTCCGATCCCGACCAATGGTGCGCCAAGCGAGTCAACATTTCACTTTAGCATCAACAGCAATGCAGAAATGGAGGGCCCGCAGGTACGTGTAATACATAACTAACAATTATAAAAACAGTTAAGACTTAGGGGTCTTCAAGAAAGAGCGAATACCTCCCTTAAAGGCCGGTAGTTCCCATGGCATTGCGGATGTTGCTGGCCGTCGGACCATTTAATATAAGCGACCCGCTGCTCGTTTGACATTGACTGACATTTGCTACTGTAACATTTCGGGAGAGAATACGCATCGAAAAATAAATTTGCGCTAATAAAACTTTAATAAATTGTTTAGTAGTTTATTCATAGATTTGAAAATATTTTCTTACTTCCAATAAAACCTTGTCACCCTAATAGGGTGATCAGTGGTCTACTGTCACTAGTTATTTTTAGACTACTCCCCCGCAGGGAGGCCATATAGATGACATCTAGCGCGCATAATTCTTTCACCAACTATGTGGGCAACGTGCGTACTATCGAAGACGTTTATTTCCTATCTATTTGTGAAATTCCATTTGGCAATGCAATTAGTTTGAAAACTTAAACAGTAAATATACGTGATAAATTACATCTGTTATAGTGACAGTCTGTAGGACATCCGATCCAAGTGGTTAGCTAATTTAATTCCTTGACTACACTGTTGTTGAACACAGTTAATGTATAACACACACGAGACTTATCTTTATCATGTCATGCTGACGATAAATGCGTCGCGCCGGTGTTTGAATTCTGAAAGAATTCAAGGCAATGTCCTGTCTATTTTGCATTTTCTTAGTGATAAGAGAAACGTCCGATCTGATTTTTCATCAGTTATTGTTCAAACTTGTAACTTTTGCCAAGAAAGTGCTAATTATATCGGCATTGCTTATGTTTTTATTCATAAAAGCTGAATTCTGCTAAAACATTTTAACACGAAATACGATAAACAAGGAAATTGAAACGTATGTTTTTGTTTCCTTTTTTTTTAAATCGTAATTTGGTTATTGTTCTTCGAATTTACATGCGTGAAGAAATTATTCAAGTTTTTATTGTAAAACAATTCTACGTGCGTATACAAAGAAAAAGATTAAATGATAAGAAAATCAGTCCTTGCTTCGTATTATCTATAAAGTCCTTGATGTGGTTAAGTTAATGAAGATGTAGTTACTGAGAAAAATAAAAACACCACCTTTGTTAGTGCATTAAACTTATACTCAACTTTTCTATGGAATTAATCACAAAGTAATAGATTAAAAATAGAATGAAATATTTGATAGTTGTTAGTTCTTGTATGAACTATTTTTACTATAAAGGTCAGCTGGTTTAATTTTAATTTGCATACAATTATTATACTGAGAGAGGTCGTCATCGGAAACCTTTAGTGGACAATAACACAGTACAGTTCTTGACTTATTATAAAAGGCTCTTATAAAATATTAAATCGGCACAGTAGTTTTTGAATTATTGCAATACATAAAAAATATAAATGTTTCTTTCTTATACTAGTAAAGATTAATGGCGGGGTCCAGAAATACGCTGTTTATAAGTGATTCCTAAACATTGGTAATAATTCTAATGGTAAAAGAATTTTTAAAATCAGCCCAGTAGTTTTTACGTGAATCGAATATATACAAAAATCCAAAAATACAATTTGTTTCTCTTTATAATATTAGAATAGATAATATAATTAAAAATTTAATTTAAATGTATAGGTATATACTGGTAATTCAGCAACCGTGAGTTGATATTCCACTCGGCATGTTTATCATGATAACGTCGTGTCATATCGTTACTTTTATCAAATTATATAATAACGTTAATGCTATAGTGGCTCAATTAAGTGTCAAGTTTTAAAGGGTCTATGAAATATTGATTGTAGAGAAATTTATCGATGCCCTTTTGTCAGGCTGATGATACAGTATAGTCAATGGTTTCCTGATTTTGCCCTCTGCAAGATTGCTTAGTTATGTTTTATTAACTTTTCCTTGGTAGCTATGTCAATTTTTTAAGCGACTGTAGTTTAGTCGATCGTTAAGTGAATTACCTAATTGTTTTGTTGTATGATATTCAGGGGTCGTTCGAGTGCGTTCGCGGGGGCGCCGGCGCACGGCGGCTGGAGTGCTGCGGACCGCTGCCGCGCCGCATGCGCGTCCTTGCCAACGACGACTCGTACGAGGCCACGAAGGACCGCATGGCACGCACAGTCGCCGCCGAGCAGAGCAAGTGGTCAGTATGGTGTCTAACGATACATTGTAGTGTTTGGAATTTTTCTTTAACTACGACATTTTATCAATGTTTTCTGCTTGAATGTATGCTGAGTAATGCGATATACGCACGTCATAACTACTTATTTTAACAACCCTAAAATAACTTAAGGAAACATTTTCGTCAACCTTATACAGTAAAATATGCACTGTTTATTAAATAAAGCTGAAAATTCTTTGTTGCACCAACATTAATATCCCTAATATATAGAATCGCAAATAAATTATATTGGATATATCATATGTAGTCACCACCATCGTGATATTTTGTTATGTTGAATGAAATTGAAACATTTTACCTTTGCCATTTTCAGCACTAGGGTTATAAAACCCAACCAGACAGATATAGGACGTAGAATAAATAAACGCCTCCCCCACACGACTTACTCGAATGGGTCAGCAGCGGCGCAACTGGCGGAGAGAGCCGAACGTGCAGAGAAAGAGCGGCTCGAGCGGCTGGAACGGGAACGTGCTGAGAGAGCGGAGAGAGAGCGAGTCGAGCGTGCCGAGAGGGAGCGCGTCGAGCGCGCAGAGAGAGAACGCGTTGAGCGAGCGGAGAGAGAAAGAGCCGAAAGGGCGGAGAGGGAACGAGCAGAGCGGTTAGAGCGGGAACGCGTGGAGAGAGTCGAAAGAGAACGGGCCGAGAGAGCCGAGCGGGAACGAGCGGAGAGACCTGACAGGGCTGAGCGAGCCGAGCGGGCGGTGCCCCGCGGCGCACCACCGCCCCACCAACGCCCGCCGCCCGCCGCGGACGTTTCGCGACGCTCCATAAAGTAAGTTTGTACATTTATCAATATCCTAAGCATAAAATCTCATTGTATTTTTATGCATAAAACACCATAGTGTTTAACGACACCACAGAAATTAACTCAAGTTTTGGTCAGTACAACCATCACTTCTACCAAGTCAATTAAAAAATCTCGTCAAATTCTTTGCAAATTCTCAAAAGTGTAATCTAATGTTTTGACTCAAGGCACTCGGTATGCATAATTGCTGGCAGGGTTCCATTTTATCTCAACAACATTGACAGCGCGTCTGTTTTCCTGATTCATTGCCGTGGGAAGATGTAGGTGTCTGTGCGATGTGCATTAATCATGTGCACCACTGATAGTACTCACCTTGATCTAATCATTACGTCAAAATATATACACTCATAGCTTAAATATTCCAAGAACCATAACATGCTTATATGGAGGCAAAGGAATAATTTTCCATACTCTATTTTTATCATAAAGTATAGTTTGTACTGCACTCATTTTCCATCTTATTTCCTTTTATTTATTGTAGCCTATTTATGCCATGATAAAAATACAATTACAATGTAATTAGAATAGATTAAGCCAGTATCGAGCAACTAACGATTGTAATATTAATTGCTTTAGATGATTTTCCTTGTGCACGTATTTGATTGAGAAACATTGTTTAATTAAAAAAAATAGTTTTCAACTATATTTTTAAAAGCAGAAAAACAATATAGTAGTTGGTAGATTGTGAGAGGATAATTTTCGTATTAACCAAGTATATTATTATCCATCAATTTAATATCTGTAAATTTGTTTTGTTTCATATAATCATACATGATAAAATTGATTAATGTGACGCGTTATTGCACAATTTTATTGCGTAAATTGTAAATACACTTGCAAAACCCATACATCATCATACAAATTGACGAATAGAAAAAATTCTAAAAACAACGCTAAGATCTTACTAATACTACGAATTAGTTATGTAATATAATTTCTAAGGATAATATTTCGATTCTATTTGTAAGTAAATACTTATTACTATTAACTTTAATAGTATAATACTTATCTTAGTATACAATCTAGTTATCTAAAAGTCTCAAAACTCATAGTTCATATTATTTGCGAAAGTGGATGGATGGATGTTTGTTAGAGTTTTTTGGCTAAACTCCTGAACAAATCTCGGTGAAATGGCATTGATGTTAACAATAGTCTGGAAGAACATATAGGCTAGTTTGTTTATATTTATTTCCACACTGACGAAGTCGAATGTAATATTTTTGAAGGAAACGTTCTGATTGGTTCTTGTTGACCACAAACAACTAAGATAGACTTTGAAAGTGTACTTTTATCATAAAATACATGCCACAGTGACGATAAATACTTTTATCTTGTTTTATTGCAATAAACCATATCGCGAATTGTGGTTGACATAATTGAAGTTTGGTTGTTGTGGTTAATGCATGTCAAATGTTTGTCCGATAAATAGAGTAGTTGTTATGACTATTGGACGAATATTGAAACGAATCTTAAACAATTTGCCCGCAGATGCAGCTTATAATTTGACACGTAAAATTAATGGAATTGACAGTTTAAGTAGTTTATCATTCTGTAGTTTCAGTATTCGGCCATAGGTTTGAAAATGTACGAATGTCTATTTATCTAGAATATTATACTTCTGCCGTTTTTAAAACTAATTTTAAGTAAGAAATATTTTACCAAAAAAATGGGCTTTACAAGATACTAGCTGCTGTGCTGCACGCGACTTCGCCCGTGTGAAATTAAAAAAATGTATCCTATGTTACTCACAGATTATCCTTTCTAACGGTGAAAGAATTTTTAAAATCGACCCAGTAGTTTTTGAGTTATATCAATACATACAAAAATACAAATCTTTCCTCTTTATAATATTAGTATAGATGTATAAAATTAAACAATATGTAAATATCATTCATGCTATAATACTAGTATATGACGTAATCATTTTTTTTACTATTATCTTAATTTCAAATATCACTAGTGTTTTATTTTTTTTAATCACATCCATTCTATCCCTCAGTTAATGGATATTGTGGACTTTTTTTTTAAATTGGAAAGTGGTAGTCGTCGATTGCCTTGAGTTGTTTACGGTTGTGTGCGGTTCTGTCGCGACCTCGACGTAGCGACTCATGATCGCTCGCCTTCTAAATGCCACGACGATTGTGACATTCAATTAATACCTTGATACAGCGCATGTTTACATCAATACAATGTTTTGTTACTAATCGTATCACTGGCGCACGATTTTACTTAAGTGTTAAGATTAATATTAGGTTATTATTAAATTAGTTGTTGCTGGCGACTTCGTTCGCGTGAAAATAATAAAAAAATAACATACTGACGAATAAAGTACGTCCTTCTTTTTGGAAATCGGTCAAAAATATAGTCTATGTTACTTACAGATAAATTATCTTTTAACGACGAATTTTTCGAATCAGTCCAGTTATCGATATTTTAATGAATACAAAAATATAAATCTTTCCTCTTTATAATATTAGTATGGATTAGAATATATTTAAAATATTCGCCCTCGAAGTTAATCGACATCTGTTGAGCCGTTATTGAGATGTGTAACAAACGTCCATCCATCCATCTATCCATACAAGTTACAGTATTAATAACATTAGTATGAATATAAATTGCAGATAGACCTGGTCATAATGTAGAATACAAACAAGGTTTATAAGTTACGAATCACTATTGACCTTGACTCCGTGCGCGTGGAATTAAAAAGGCTAAAAGCCTAAATGTTCTTCCGAACTATGCTCCAGATCTATGCCAAATTTCATCGAGATCCGTTTAGCAGTTTATGCTGAAAACTTTAACAATCATCAATCCATCTAAACTTTCGCATTTATAGTATTAGTAAGAAGTAAAATATATACTGGTAGGATTTGTCGTTCTATTTTTCTTAAATTATAATACAGCCGTTTCAATTTATAAAATGTGTTTTTTTTTCTGTTTCAGTGAGAGACTTATACAATTATTAGCACTGAAGCCATTCAAGAAGCCGGAGCTATACGCGAGGCTGAATAGTGGTAAGTTGTCTGTCGGTGTCCCTCGCCGCTAACAGTGTGTTACCGCGACTAACCGCCGGCACATTCCAGAAGGCATCAAGGAGAAGGACCGAGGTGAAGTCAACAAGATCCTGCCCAAGATCGGATCCCTTAAAGACAACTGCTACCACCTTCGCAGGCATATATGGAACGATGTCAACGAGGACTGGCCATTTTATACCGAAGAGGAGAAACGCTTACTCAAAAGGTATAATCAACGTTTATTTTGTTGAAATGTCTTTTGATGTTCAATGATACTGAAAATTTGTTATATATCTTGTAACAGTTGCACCTACTCTAAGTGTGAAGTGAACAAATAGGTAACTATGCGTGAAGTAAGGACAAGTTCACATAAAATTGTCATAGAAATACTGCTGATAAAAATGATAGATTAATATAATATTAAGATGATTAGAAGAAGTACTACTCTTCGTTTTAGTCCATTTTTTTGTAATATAATAATTACTTATTAATTTAGAGAGCACTGTAAATATGTAAAGCGCATGTTAATATTAACTTCGTATTAAATTAAATAGGATTTTAATCTCAGTGTAAATTGACGTCAATAGGTCAGGATTTACCTTATTGCAATATAATTTATAACATTTACCATATAAAACCACGCACAAATTAATTGCAAACGATTTATTTTCCTACAATATCGTTCTTGTCAAGAAATCGATGCTGAAAATTTGCCGATGTCCTTAGTTGTAACTCTACCAGTAATTAAGCAAAGTTGTTTTTATTGATTTTTTCTATGATAATTCCAGGCGGAAACCTCAAAATCTGACTCCACCCTTAAGCAGCGACTCCGCAAACTCATTGTCCCCGCGCGCATCCCCCGCCAGCGGCAGCAGCGGGGGCGGCAAGCGCGCGCCCGCCGGCGACGAGGACACGCCCGCCGCCAAGAAGAAGCGCATCTCTCACTACCGCCGCCCCTCCCCGCCCTCCTCCGGGTACGCCACCACCTCCTCCGGGGAGCGGCACGCCTCCGACAACGAGGATGACAGGACCAACGGTCAGTACACAACAAACATATTTAACAGTGGTAGAGCTCGCTTTAACGTCTTCGTACTGTAGGGCCGACTCGCTTCACGCAATACCATGTCCACACGGAAGACAAGACAGACGTGAAATGGAAGCAATTCCGCGTACAGTCTGATGGGTGTGGTGCAGGAGGCCAAATTTTAGTACCTTCCTTTTCCCACCATTTACTTATAAGGAAAGGATGGGAGGGAAAGTAAAGTGTCTTCATTTGCGTCTCCTCCACTGTCATTTGACGAAGGGGAAATGTCATCATGTGCGTCTTTTCTTCGCTTCGATTTCTTGGCCAATTCAGTTGGCCGCTTCATCGGTTGCCACTTTATACTAAAAAAGACAGCTCCGTAATTTAATAATTTGCTTTTGCTTATATGCATTCGCAATTGCAGATGCATTGCCTTCTTTCACATAGGATAATCACATATTTAGGATATTTCCTATATCTTCTCCACTGTCTATTCTATTTTCATTTCCCATGCGTTCTTTATAAAAATATGACAGAAAAGGAAAGAGACTAAAATTAGACGTCCAACTCCGGATATACGCAGTGGTATTATACGGTTATTTGTTTTCGTTATTTTGACCTTGAAAATAGCGGTTAATAGCCGTGATGAATGAAGAGTTAGTAATATCGATCGCGCAATTTATTCGAAACGAAGCAAATGCAATTTCCAATCACTAATCGGTGCGCCTATCGAGCGATTTCAGAAGAGCGAAAGATGATTTAATAGTGGTCTATTTTGAAATTACTAGATAACGCAAGACTTGTTCACAAACACGATTTTCCTCGTTTAATTAGTGTTTTCCTTGTTTACAACGCAGATAGTTGTTTAGTAACAAAGGTCATGAACCAGCTGTTATACGATTTTCTTGCTAACTCATTGATTTTTTTTTCCAGTTAAAAAGGATAATGGCTACACTCTCAACTTCAACACGGTGAAGGATCTCTGTCCCAGTCCTGTGAAACCTAACGGCTTCAGAAATAGTCCTACAGTAGAGCAAACTAGTATCACAGGTATAATGCTTGCGTCATAATTACTAACTTTTGCCCGCGACTCTACGCGGAATTTAAAAAAATAGGAGTTTTATCCAGATTGAGCAGTTCAAAGTACGTTCAAAACGTAATCTATTTTAACTAATAAATAGATAATAAAATTGTTGACTTTTAAACCCTAGAGTCTTCTTGATATAAATTCTTTATTGATGACAAAACTTGCATATTATATTAAAGCTAGAGAAATGTAACATTTTTTTGATTATTGATTTAGTAATCTATACTTTACTTTAGTAAATTTTTAAAATATCACTACAGGTGTCAAAAACATACGTTATTGTTGAATTACTTAAATTATACATTTTTTTCCATAATAAATGGTTGATATTGTGTAGTACATAGCAATGCAAATGAAATTTATGAATTATTTACATCAAACACATAAAACAAGTTTTATATGTTGCACATGTTCCAGTTTGTTATGTAATGTATGTTCACGTTATATGTTAGAGCGAGCACACCTGAAACTAAATTATCGCACAACTATTTAGTCTTGCTTTGATTCCTATGAGCTTAAATGAAGTGCACTATTCGATTTTTAGTTGTGCAACTAAACAGTTGATTTGCCAGTTGTGCGACAGTTTAGTCAAATGTGTGCGCCCGCTCTTAGTAGTAGCATTGATGTTATAGATTTGTTGTAGAAAACTAGCATGTCGAGTATGTACTTACGCTTGCACAATAATAGGGTACTTGAATAAATGTATGTTTGTTGGTATTAACATTTATACCTATTGCTGTCTCTTTCATTCTCTTTGATAAAAGAGAGACAACAATATGTAGTTGTCAGATTTCTTGGCGGCTTTACTGCGCAGAACACAATTTTAAGGCTATTGCGCAGATGAACGAGTCACTAAGATATTTGACGATAACTATACCCATACAAGTATTTCGTAATTTTTACTTGATACGTAAGTAACTGATGACGTCATCGAGTTGAAATTCCATGTTATTGTGCTTGAGTATTAATTTTAGTACGTTATGATCTAGATCGGAAATGGACAGGCAGTTTATTAATTTTTTTTATTTATTTTTTTCAGAAAAAGACATCACAAATACTGAACAATTAGAAACTACAGATTTAACGTCTGTACCTGATGAGAATATGACTGATTTGGTAGATATTGAAAGGTGAGATTTATTTTCGGAATTAGAAACATTCGGTTTCAATTTTTTGCTAGTTAGGGCAGAGAAAACAAATATTTTTGATTCTAGTGATTATGTATTGTTTTATTGCATAGTATTTTAAAGTTTATCGTCCAATTTCGATCTTATTTGCATGCCGTAATATGTGTATTAGTTGTAAAATTATACATTTAACAAAATCAGGTAAAGCAATATTTGTGTAAACTTTTTCAAAAATTAATCACATATATTTACAGTCTAAATACATTTTGGTACTGCGAGCAGCTAAAGGATTTTTAAAAGCATAAATACAGAAAAACACTTAAAATAATTTTACTTAAATTAAAGCATCCGATACCTTGCACGTGTAGATGTACGAATGTGTAAATGCGCCAATTGTAAACCCATATATACCACCGTTTTACAGCCTTGTCTTCACATGTGTATAAGATAAGATGTGTAATGTGTAACGTGTACTGTGTTCTGTGTACAGGCAGTACCCGGCGATCGCGAGCTCCGGCACGCGGCGCGCGTACAAGCAGGAGTTCTCGGAGCTGTACACGGAGTACAGGTCGCTGTACGCGCGCGTCGCGCAGGTCGCCGCGCTCTTCTCGCAGCTCGAGCAGCAGCTGCGCCGCACCGAGCCCGCCTCGCCGCAGCGCAGGGTCGGTACACACTACACACGATAGTTTACACACTTGGTATACACACTCACAGTACATACTTGGTATATACACTTTGTATACATTCTAGGTGTACACACTTGGTATACACTCACAGTACATACTTGGTATATACACTTTGTATGCATACGAGGTGTACACATTTGGTATACACTCTCACAGTTCACACACGATATACATATTTAGTCAACAGTATCCGTATTTTTCTGTTAAAAAAAACTAGCAATCGCCTTCTTGAATTCGACAAAATAGCGAAACAAATACCGCTCGGAAAAATTTGCATTTTAAGATGCGTTGCATACCTTTAATCCACAGAAGTGGGGACACACAGAAAGCCTATATTTCCCTTGCTAATGCGTCGAAAGGGTAGAAAGGGAAGAGAACTAAAATTACACAGTACGGCTTTTTTTTGTGTATTATGTGTATTTTAATTTTAATTTTCAGACGATAGAGCAGCGTATAGTGGAGGAGTACCAGCGCGTGCGCAACAACTCCGCGTACCAGCGCGAGAGGCGGCGCGTTAACTACCTGCACCGCAAGCTCAACCATATCAAGCGGATGGTGCAGCAGTACGACCAGCTGGTGAGTTATACAACGCTCACCACTCACCACCAACTAGTGCTCACCACATATTTGTGGCATCTTGTGTATCAATGAGTAGACTCAGTTCGTCTGTTCGCTTAGTAGTCTCAATAAATTCATACTACAATGCTATTTACGTGAAAGTAAAACATAATTAATTGGTAAATTGTTTAAGTTTATAAATATCGGGCTAAATATTCACTATTTCGATTTTTCAGGCTAATTTAGTGTTTTTTTTTTTAATTTATAATTTACTTGTAACTGAAGTTTTAGAAATTCATTGTATTTTTCGCAATGATTTCAATATTATAGATAAATTCCGTTGCTATTTCAAGTCTGTAACGCATTTAAAGGAGTTGCCAGTAAGTTCAGCGTGTTAGATTTTATTGGAAATGTACATTTTTATATCTTAGAGTAGAACAACTTTACTGTTAATTTGTAGTTTGTGTTACATTAGATTTATGTAGTTTTTGTATCAATTTATTTGTACAACTCTCACTTTTTGCATTGTTTTTATGCACTCATTGTTGGAAATCACTCTTTAAGTTTTGTCTCAAAAACTTTATATTAATTTTGCAGGAGCACCATGATCTCTGTTGTAAAATTAAATTAATAATTAAAACTGCCTGTCTATTGAACACTATGATTGCATGTGGCACGTGTATAGTGATTTTTGAATTATTGGTTTTTAGTAATTTTCAATGTCGTAAATATGTATAGTACTTAATATATGAAATGTGTTTGTTTCCAGCGTAATTTGAAACCGGAGCGCGTGTCGGCGGCGAGCACCACGCAGGCGTACTGACACTCGCGCTCCCCGCGCGCCGCCCGCTGCCTCTAGTGGCCGGCCCCGCCCCGCGCCCCGCCCACACCGCGCCCACGCGCCCACACTGCGCCCACGCGCCCACGCCGAGCCTACGTGCCCACGACGAGCCCACGCGCCCACGCGCCCATGCGCCCACTACGCGCGACACTCGGCTCGTTCACAGACTTATAACCCCTTCATATACAAATACTGGTTGCCTGCAGTAATGTCCAGGACTCCTTGCGTCAGTTTGTTTCTCGAGGTTGTAGTATTTAGATATTAGTTTCACAATTTGATATCATTATGTATCCAGATTTATCGATTAATTTTAGTTATTGTCAGTTCTTCCATTATGTTTAATGAACATGTGCTATACGTTTTAAAATCGCCAAACACTTGTGATCAATCGTATTACGTATGAAAACACGAAATTTTGCACGCGCTTAATTGGTTTTAAGCTTCTAATATCGATCTTTATACTTTGGCATCTATCATTTTGGTATAATTCTTATGTATGACAGACTATAACAGTGCATATTTGATGACACCCTCAGTGGTTGTCGGTGTCATAGCGTGCTGAAATGCCATAAATCAACATAAAATTATTCAGTACAAGTCAATTCGAGAGACTTATCGGCCTTTGAAAAACAATTATATTGACATTTTTATACTATATTAGCCCTAAAATCGTCCCTTTAATTTCCATCCATTTATTCTGATTGGACGTTCGACTTTGCATCTTGCCCCCGCTTGTAAATATTAACTTAACGCGTAATTATTACGATTTGTTAAATTTTATTATTACGTCTAGTTTAAAGAATTCTTTTAATTTTATGTTGATATAGTTATGAAACATGTATTTATCCTTTGAATGGTTTTGTCGAGTTATTCCTGCATATCCAAATTGGTCACAAAAAATATCTTTGACATCGTACTTATTATTCTAATGTTTTTGGAATTTATAGCGAGAATAGCCCGACGAACTCAAATTGTCATACATTTTGCCAAAATTATTTAGATTTTATGATGTTTAATTAGTTTTTATTGCGGAATGAAACGTCTCGAAACGACCGGCCAGTGTTGATCATCCACTAGAGATAAGTATTCTGGTCCCCTTCAGAACTACCCTCCACAACACAATAAATTAATAAAATCGTAGTTATTTTTTCTACATTTGGGCTAATCATTGTCAAAAAATCAATTCAATTGTCCCTCACGCGATAGGCTCGCTCCCTTTCAGATTTGACACTTAAATGTCTTGCTATCTCTTTCTATACCCTTTGCACGCAAGCTTCTGATGCACAGTAGCGCCCTCTACAAAGACCATATTATCCATGTTACCCTATTTAAATAAAATTCTAGATATAAACACCTCTAATATTCAAATGATTGGCAAAAAATGGCTTTTTGTTGACTGAACCCAAGCACTCCCCTTTTTCTTAAATTTTAAATATGATATTTTTCAACTTTGTCCAAATTAAAAAATCACGTTTTTAATTCCTTCAAGGATAATCACATTATAGCCCAAATGTGTATAAAGCCGTCTTATGTATTATGTCCTAAAACTAACGTCCATATTGAAAATGAAATGATTTAGCGTTAAGTATGATTTTTGAACTCTTAAACGCAATGTGCAAGATCAACTCGCTGACGATTAGCGAAATTGTAGAAAATGCAGCGAAATAACGCGTGTACTGAAACATGAGATTTGCGCGATGACGTCACTACGCGACTACATTACGTCATATCTCATGTTGTAAGGCGTTATGTTATGTGACCTTATATTTTGCCTTATTATTTGGATTATATGTGTTCTTCAGTGTTGTGATTAATTTAAAAATTGTTGCGTTTTCTACATTTCGCGTTGATTTTCTTTTGATTTGATAATGTTGTGTTAAAAATGGCCATCTTGAAATTGTTTCCATCGAATGTATATACCAGTTTGTTACGAAATTTATTGTATATGTGTAAATGTAGCATTACTATGTTAGGTTTACGAAACCTTGTTGATTGTTTCGTTTGATTTCTGTCAATTAATGTGTCAAAAAAACTTTTTAATACTTCTGGTATGACGGTCAATTCTTTTGTACGGGAAGGTTTGTTGGTAAAATTCTGTCAATTTAAAAGCAAAGCCCTTTTGCTCATCGGATTTTATTATTTAACCCTTTACTCATTTAAATGCTCAATGATATAGTTATATTTGATATTAGTTGAACGTAAATTTGTCTTTAGTGATTCTTATTTATTTTACCAATTAAATCAAAATTAATATCATTTTTTATCTGTAATTTTGTTTATTACACTTATATAAAGGTATATAAGCCGTTGAGATGTTATTGTTACCAGTAGTGTAAGGCGCGGTTGTTGTGGAGCGGAGGCTCGCTAGTGCAAATATTGTTCCTTCGTGGACATCTGTTTTTCATGAATTTGTTAAAGTTGGACATTATTGTCGATGCATTCCATTTGGCGATTGATTGCGCACGCGCAGATACATGAGTACACCCATTCTGTATGACGGACAGTCGGCGTATTTTAATATCAATCTTTATTGTAAAAATTATATGAAGATTACCAAAATTTATCACCAAAAATTGATAATTGGTTGTCAATTCGTCTTTTTTAATTTTATATGCATAATTGCATATTATTCCTTTACTAACTTGACTCCAACTGATTCCACTTATCTGTACAATTCTTATTTCTATACTGTAGAAATTCCTTTTTGTAGTTGTATTTATTTTTAATTTAATGATTGTCTTATCCCAAATATTAAAACTGGACTTATAAAAATCACATTTGCCCTTGACGCCCGCGCGGAATTAAAAATAATGTGACATATGTTACCAAGTGATTACGCAGCTTTCTAATGGCGAGAGTTTTTGAAGTCTGACAAGTAGTTTTTGAGTTTACGAAATTTTAAATCTTTCCTTTTTATGATATTAAGTGTAAACTGACTGTCCGTGCATATAAAGGGGAGACTTCATTAGTGGCTAATAATTATAACGAAATAAATCTAAAATCATTGTTGTCGCCAATAATCCTCTTGTTTGTGAACTAATGGATATAAGACGTAATTAAATTCTGTCACAAAGGCAGTGTATCGATATGTCAAATGTTGCTCTGTTGTTACCTATTAAGTTATTAAGAGATTTGGTACGAGAGATATTTGTATTTTGACATGTTTATACGAATGCTAAAATCTCAATGAAATATTATAATAGTCCATTGTACAGTGTAGGATAAATATTTAGTGCTTACGACATAAAATTATAATAGTTATATAGTAACAAGCGATGTCGCGGTGCATTGACGTGTCTCGCGCGGCTCGGGGCGGCCGTCGGCTGATTGTATTTAGATGTGGTCCATTGATAATATATTATTATATATTCAGATCAAAAGATATTGTAAATTTTGGTGTACAGTAAATTGTATCGAGCGGAGCGCCCGCGCGTCCGGTCGACACAACGGAGACGTCTTACCGAACAATTAAATACTATGTATTATGTCATTGTAAATAGAATACGAATTAGTAGCTTAGGCGCGTTAAGGGATATAATCTTAGTGTTTTATTTTTTTAAATTGCTACGAAAGTGTATATGGGGGAGTATTGTGTGGGGAGGGGCGGGGGCGCGGGGGGCGCGGCCTCCGGTATCAGTGCATTACGAGTCGCGATGTACGGACTAAGGTGGACAGTGTTACAGTGTACAGATCGAGTTTAACAGCTCGGGCCGCTCGGCCCGGGCGCACGACGACTTGCTATGAATCCTGACATCGGCTCACGTTAATTAGCTTTATATAAATATTTCATCAAAATATAAAATACACAAAAAAAATATGGATGTAAATCTTTCGACCAAGTGCTGGTTGTTTTTTTTTAAATTATTAAAATGTAAAAAAAATTAGAGTATATACAAAGCATAGGTACAATTTATTAATTATACTTTTCTTTTCGGCATTTGATTGTAACAGTGGAAGGAGCGCTTGTTTGCCGCCGGCAGAGCTCGCAGCGACTCTGCCTGTCTATATCATGTTGTGTGATTTCTTTTGCTCACGTCCTCTTCCATTGCTTATTCGTATCGCCATCTAATCTTATGTAATTTTTTTTATTTTTAAGGCAGGGTAATGCAGAATGTGGTACTTTTTGTTTTTTTCACCATTGATGAGTTTTGAAAGTTTGAATTAAGTTGAATTTATCCATTCAATGGAATATGTATTGTTATGGAGGAAACAAGAGTTTGTTGATTTTTTTTTCTTAAATTAAGACCATTTGGTTTTCTAATTATTGAGGCAGCAATTAATTATTATTTACGATCATTGAGTTACCACACGCAATATATTGAAAGTAGGCTCTCTTTGGCGTTGTCAAATGTTTTAATATATACATGTAGCACCTTTACTGAGCCTAATATGTACATAAAAATGACTTTAATTATTATATACGTGCATTATATTTTTAGCCAAATATCATGCTAATTTAAATAGAGTTTTTGCCATTGCATGAAATCTCTTCATGAGAATTTGAAAAATACTTAGTTAATATAGTTTTTCTTAGCATAATAAAAACGTTTGTTAATTTTTTAACACTTGTTTTCATTAAATATTAATGAAATAATTGAAATGACATGAGTAACATTTTAAAGTTAAATGTTTTGGGTTTATATTAAAGGGAACGTAAGGGTGTATTTATATATTAAAGTATTTGTACGTTGCCCGTTTTGTGTTAGAATGAGGCTCCGTTGGAGTTGGAGTGTCCACTGATGTAAATGTTCTAAAACAGTATTGCACTAGGCAAACAGCACGAGCTGAAGAGAGGTTGTGAAGAGTATCGTTGTAAAAGGTACCTATCCTGAAACAAGAATACAGACTAACTCATCTAAAACGTCAGATGCGTTGCTACAATGTGCATTTATATCTTTTTAATTTGGATTGTAGGATCAGTGCCAAACTTTCTTCTTGTTTAGCTCAAAACGATGCAATTGTTAGCATGCTTGAAAAAACAGCTGAGTTAATTGTTTAGTTAGTCTGCCATTTGTGAATATTTTGTTTTGATAGTAGATATGTAAATCTTTTATAATATATTTGTTTACAATAAATAAATGACAACAATATAAATAAATAAAATTGTATTTTCCATTTAAACTGATGAAAAAAAAATATAAAAAGAATAATATGCAAATGATATTTGTTTTTTAATTCAACTCCCAATCGTGGATCGTCGAAGTTATTTTACGAATATCTTCGAAAACATTCTGTAAGCTAAATGCTGAGCAAGCGTATCATATAGAGAAGCTTTGGCTGTAAGGAAGATATGTTTTAGTGAGCATTTTTATATTCATAATGGAAAGCGTATGCATTATTTAGCTCAGTAGCATTTTACTTCTGATCAATATTTATAATTACTGCTTAAAAATATTTAACTCTTAAGTATGGCAATGAGCACAGCACAAGTAAAATATGCCGGCACATAATTCGAATTCTAAACTTTGATTTTAAACACTTGTCACTTAGATGTTGCCAGCAGAAAAAACGCCACTCTCGTCAGTATTGTCTATGATTTCCACATTCTTTGTTGCTCTTTGAATTGACAGTGAACGATTTTCTCCTTTTAATCTTTGTTTTTGTCTGCTTTTCTGTGAACACCGAATGTGAATTGTTGAGAAAAAACAAGAAAAATCAATATTGGAATAGTTTTCAATTATGATTTTTAGCATTTGAGTTAGTATCGAAGTGAAATTTTGTGATTGATTGTATAATTACATGATATCGACTGAATTCTTAAAATGTCGAACTTTAAAGACAGCAAAAATAAATCGGCTCTTAGCACAAGATGGGCACAGATGTCCAAACAGGAGCAGATTATTGAAAGAAAGAAGATAGAGATTCAAGCTAAGGTGGAGGCTCAGAAGCAAGCCGCTGCACTTGCTGCACAAGTGAAATTAAATAAGTAAGTTTTAATACTCTTATGATTTACGGTTATCACTGTAGAATTTTTAAGAATCATATTAAAAATGAAACAAAGCAAAACGCTTGCTAATATACCATAAATTTAAAGAATAACAATTGTTACAGCTCTAGTAATCAAGATGATAAATCAGGCAACATATTTTCAAATGATGGCTCTTTTATGAGTCAATACAAAGCTTTACTTGAACAACAAAAACTAGATAAAGAAAAAATAGAACAAGAAAAGATTGAAGAGGAAGAGAAATTAAAAGAGATTGAGCCAAACATTAAATCAGAGGCAAGACAAGTCAAAGATGAAAATGATGAAGACAATAGAGATGTATGTAATGACGATTCCGATGAAGACATTTCAAATGAAAAACCCAGGTGATATAAGATCAAATTTAGGTTATATTTTCCATCAATGAAATATGTTTTTAAACAGAAACACTTTTTAAGGAGCCTGCTTTATTTTAAGGGGGTGATAGGGTTAAAAACAATAATAATGTAATTTTATTAAAATGTTATGAATACCATGTAAAATGCACTATTTCTATTTTAGGGACACACAAAAAAGATGGAATAACAGAGGCAGAAACAGTCCTACAACTCCAGTTGTGGAAGATAGAAAAAAAGTTATTGAGAAGCAAATCCCACCATTAATGAATATGCCTGTTAGATCACAGGATACTCATGCATCTAATTCTCATAAACAGTGGAACTCTTATGGTGGCTCAGATACTGAATCTGAAACAAATAGTGAAGACAAAAAGGCATCTCCAAAAGACTCTGTAAGTGCTCAATCTGGCCCTGGAACCATGGGACAAGGGCCAATTGGTCTAGGATCTATGGGCCCAGGAGCAGTTCACTTGGGACCACAACACATGGGTCCACGGCTTATGGGCCCAGGCCCAATGGGGCCGGGACCCATGGGACATGGTCCTATGGGGCCGGGTCCAATGGGGCCCAATATGGACGCTATGGGACCAGGACCAATGTGTCCAATGAGACCGCATGGCCCAGGGCCTATGAACATGGGTCCAAATATGTCACCTGGTCCTAGACTAAATATGGGTCATGGACTAAGACCTATGAATGGGCCAGGTAGACCAAACATGCCTCCCATGCCACCTTTTTTTGGTGGGCCACCGAATTGTCCAATGCCACCAAACTTCATGGGTCCCAATGGACCTCGAGGGCACTGCGGTCCTGGTGGCATGCCACCAAATATGTGTGGTCCTAATATGCGTGGCCTTGGACCAAATGGTCCGATGCCGCCATTCTTTGGGCCTCCATTTCCAAATCCTGGAATGATGGGTCCTAATGGACCGCCAAATCCAATGATGCCACCTAATTCTATGCCCTACATGGGTTCACCACCCTTTGGCCCCAATGGGCCCAACTTTCGCAACAACAGACCTCCCTTTGGACCTAATGGCCCTCCAAATATGCCATTTATGCCCCCTACCTCAATGCCACCTAACTCATTACATACAATTCCGGAACCAAAGCCTCTAGATGCACTCTGCATTCCGCATCCAGAAAGCATGAAGCTTCAGAATATTCCACCACCGAGGGTTTTGCCACTGAACCATATACCAAAGCGCAAGGAATTGGATTCTGAAAACGCATCCACAGGACCAAAATCTTCACAAGGTATATTTTTAAGAATGTCTCTGCAGTATATTTTCTAACTCAAAGTATTATAGATGTCATCTAGTTTTGGGATGCTTAAAATGTTATGTACATGTTCAAATTATAATCAAAGTATATCTTTTAATGTATTACCTTATGTAGTCTTATTTAATATTAAAAAAAAATTGGAATTTGAGTAAAATATTCACATCAATACAGATTCATTATTGTTCATTTCTTTCTAACTGATTATAAATATAAATGGTTAGAAATGGGAAGTTGTAGACAATACTTTAATTTCATTTGGTTTTTTTTTATTTAATTTTCGAATATCGATATAAAACTTACAATCTATCGCATTCTCTTTCTAATATTTATGGTTCGGTACATATGATTTGTGATATATTAAAAATATTTAAACAATTAATTTGAATGTTATGTATCCCAGGGCTTGTGACAGTTTAGTAACAGTGAGTGCGTTGGTGCATTGAGCATTGAGTATTGAGTGTTTGTGTGGTGCTGGTTGCTGACTCGTGGTGTGCAGTTCTCTCTGCAGATGTGCTGCCGGCGGCCGCGCAGCGCGCCGCAGCTGAGGTCGCCAGCAACGGCGACCATTGGGAAAATGTCCTGAAAGCAATACATATACAAGACCATTTGTGGTAATGCCATACCACCCCCTAATAGTCCATACAGGAGGGATGCTGTATTTAATTTTGATATTTATATCAGTTTTTAATGAAAATTAAACCAGTGTTTGACTTTTAATGACTGTTACAGTAAATTGAATTTTATTAAAAGTGTAATAAAGTACAAAGTTGGTGTATAAGAGTATGTAAAAACATTTTTTGGAGTACTTTAACACTGGTTCAACTTTTATTAGAATCAAATACCTATTTAAGTCATCCTTACTATTTATTTTCGGTTTATAGCAAAATTTATTGTAACATTATTACAGGTTCCTACACAATACGAATTCTAATGAGTACAAGGCGTTCCGTGAGCTGGTGATGAAACTTCGGAAGGAGGCTGGTGATGACAAGAGCCAAGTGAAACCTGAAGACAGATATGAACCTGAGTTCTGTTTGGAGGATGATGATAGTTATGATGAGAGCAAGCCAATTAAACAAGAGGCGTGTGATGGGTACGTCAAAGAATTACAATTATAAATCACTAGCTTTCGCCCGCGACTTCGACCGCGTGGAATTAAAAAAAATGGTCAGCATATGTGTTCTCCCAAACTATTCTCTACATCTTTGCCAAATTTCATAGACTTCCATTTAACCGTTTAGGCAACAAACTCCAAAAAACATCCATCTATATTTTTGCATTTATAATATTAGTGAAATTGAAAAAAGAGACTCAAAAAGTAACCAAAGTAAGAAATATATTTTAATAAAAATGTCGATTTTTAACGATTGTGTTGACATTTGTGACTAGAAATTGTTTATTTGTGTTTATTTCAGCAGTGATTCAAAGCAAGATGATGGCGAACCGAATGGTAAAGAGGCGGAGGCTCACAGGAGGGAGAGGAAGAGGAAGTCCCGGTGGGGGGAGGACCCTCCCGCCGACATTAAGCCTCCCGGAATTGCCCCACCCCTGCCACCAATGTTGCCAGGTCAGTATTTACTCAAGTTAGTTAATATTTTACATCCTAATAAGTCTTTTCGCGAGCTAAAGCAACTTGGTTTCAATTTATATCTTTTATAATGTTTCTTAATATTTTGATATCTCAATGTTCAACTTGATGTAATTGGCAGGTTTTTCAACATATATTGCAAACTCACCTTAAATTTAAAGTTAAGTTGCGAGAAGATATAAACTACAAGTCGATGCCAGCAAAGAAGCAATACTGCTATAGTTTCTAAAATTCTCAGCCAAAAGCAACAACTTTTGGTGTTTGAGCATTTAAAATTCGATATTTGCAAATGAAAATTGCACAGAATATAAATAATTAAATAAAGTTTTACAATGTAGTGTGTATGAAACATCTAGTAAATAGTGTTTTTATATATGTTTAAGGTGCGAAATTAGCTAAAATAGACGAAGAAGGTATGAAGCTGACCAACATCCACCGCAGCAACCCCGCACTGATGCAGTACGCGATGACCAACTACGGCACCACCAACCTCAGCGCTGACGACTGGAAGAAGTGCGAGGACAACTTCAAACTTAACCTCCTCTATCAAGTATGTATATACTCTTCACTTATTTTTTACATTTATGTATAAATCTTTTTAATTTTTTTAATTTGCTTGAAATAAGAGCCTATGTGTTCTTTCAAGACTATGCTCTACATTTATGACAGGTTTCATTGAGATCCGTTCATCAGTTTAGTCTACAAACAAACATCGGTCAATTCAAAATGTATTATGTAGCGTGTGTTTTTTCACAGTATATGGAGATCTGTTTAGCTGTTTAGGAAATAGCTATCTAAACACTCATATTTAATATTAGTAAGATGTGATTGTAATATTTACTAGTTTTAGCATAAACAGGTCACTTTTTGGTCACTTTGCCCATAAAGATGTTAAATTAGCTTCAATAATCATACTTCATATCATGCTAATATTATTAATGCCAAAGTTTAGTTGGATGGATGGATAGATGGATGTTTGTTAGAGTTTGTAGCCTATGCGGCTGAACGAATCTCAATAAAATTTGGCACAGACGTGGAGGATAGTTTGGAAGAATACATAGGCTACTCACTTTTGTTTTTTTTTATTCTACGCGGACAGAGTCGCGGGCGAACGCTAGTTTTACATAAAAGTGAACACCTGGCGAATGGATGTCTATAAATATTATTTTCTCATATATTTTTTTAATTTGCTTGTTTTTTTTATTTGTAGGATATGTTAAAGAAGAGACAAGAAGTGGATCGTTTAGCGGCTGCGGGTAAAAATAAATATGAATATGACAGCGACGAAGATACTTCTGAAGGGACTTGGGAACATAGGTATATTTGTTCTACTTTTATATATATTTTTAAGTATAGTTTAAGGAAATGTTACATATGGCAGCATTATACTAGAGAAATATTGTGTTGGCATTGTTACTAAGAAAAATGAAAGCAAAATAGGAAATGAAGAGATTCAAAATTGATATGGAAATGGTAGTTGGTAATACTTTCAAGATGAGGAGTGGTCAGATATGGGTTGCTAGTTTCGCACTAAAATCAATAGAGACCTCATAGTTAACTCAAAAACTACTTATAAGTTATTTTAGACTACTTATTGCTAAACATTTTTTTAGTACAAAACAATACTTAGCCCTCCTTGATCATCTCTTTCCCCCCTATTTTGGCAATCCCTAGAGACCCACATAGTTGACTCAAAAACTACTTATAACTTATTTTGGATTTCTTATTGCTAAGCATGTTTTAGTATAAAAAATACTTTGTCCACCTTAATCATTGGTTTCTCCCTATTTTGGTTTTGGGGGAGATCATAATAAAAATACCATGTTACAGACAGGGAATAGGGTTACTCAGGGTTATAGCTTTCTAGTGCTCCCCCTAGATCATTAGTTGAAGTACATAACTCTATACAGTTTTCAAGTATATAAATGTTTATATCAACAGATTGCGTGCGAAGGAGATGTGTGCGACGGAGAAGTGGGCCACGGAGCTAACGAAGCAGGCGGCAGGAAAACATCACATTGGAGACTTCTTACCGCCAGAAGAACTCAGGAAGTAAGCAATGCACTCATTTTATACAAATACTAGTTGATACTCGCGACTTTGTCCGCGTTGAATAATAAAGTAAGCAGCATAATGTTATTCCAGACTATCCTACATATATGCCAAATTTCATCGTAAAATTTAGAAATGTCAAAATGTAAATTCTCAAACGACAAAGTCATTGCTATTGGCTGGCTAGAATTATTTATTAGTTGCCATGGCAACCTTTTACCAATGCTGACATTTAAGTCTGACCTTTTATGCAGCCTTTTTTTAATTTACTCACCCCCTAAATTAAATAGCGTGAAATTATATACAGCATAGATTCTTAAGGGTTGGGCTTTTTTATTGAAAACAAATTATTCAAAAGTCTGATTTAATTGACATTTTATTGTATTGGTATAGATTATTTGATGTTTTCATACAAATAATAAAAATGTACAAATTAGCTTTCTATATCTATACTATTATAATTAAGCGTAAACACACACTTCTTTGTTACCTAAGATATCAGCAATTACAGCATATTTTTGAATAATTCTTTTTTTAATAAAAAGCCCTACACTTACGTCACGCTTTAGGCTATATATTTTCACACCATTAAACTTAGGGGGTAAATATTTTGGATGAAAATCCTAATATGGGAAAGCGACCATAAGTTGCTGCCAACATCAAGGAAGTAATTGTCATTTGTGCATTTTTTTCATGCGGATAAAGCAGCACTGGAACAGCTAATTTTAAAATATGTTTTAATTTTGATTACAGATTTATGGAAAAATATTCAGCAATCAAAAGTGGCAAGGAGCCAGATTTGAGCGATTACAAAGAATTCAAACTAAAAGAAGATAATATTGGTAAGTAACTTTTATTATGTAGATTTCTCTATGAATAGATTACTTTAACATCCGTGTTAATATGTATTTCAGGTTTCAAGATGCTGCAGAAACTGGGCTGGAACGAGGGCCAGGGTCTCGGCGCTGAGGGCGGTGGCATTGTAGAACCTATCAATAAGTCAGTATATTGTTTTTGTTCTTTTTTTATTACTTCAATAATGTATTTTCTATTTTTTTGCGGTTTTGTTCTTATGCGCAAAAAAATAAACACAGGTGGCACTTTAATTCAAACATATAATGTTATTTTCCGCAGTTTTATAAGTTTAAAAAATAAATAAAATAATGAGCGGTAGGAAAACCAAAGAACTTAAATAATTTAATATATAATGTATACTCCATGCCACATCTAGTTTACATATTTCGATGCAAGTCAATAATGAATCATGTTTACTTACATTTCGTTAATATTTGAATTAAACTCACTAAGAGTATGCTTGCAATAATATTTAATAAATGTTATATCTAGCATAAGTAAGTGAATTTTTATTTTTTTTTATTACGGTAAATAAAAATTCCTGTTGCATAAGTTACAAGAAACTTGGATGTATTGTCTTTTTTATATATGTTGCAATCAGAAGAAGAAATCAATTTGAATTTAAGTCATAATTAGAGTACGAGCGCCGCCAAGCGACATTGATGAACTTAGATCATTCTGAAAATAGGGTCTGTTGCAAGAACATTGTTTGAAAATTGTAGATCTATGATATCCTGACAAAGGCATTTTTTTTTAAATTTATTTCAACGAAAACATTTTTACATAATGGTGTTAACACAGCTTGGTGCTATTAAACATACAATGTTTATATTGGCACTGCACAGTTTACATTTATATTAAAAGTTAGTTATAGGTGAATGCAATCCTGGCATCCGATACTTTACTTTCCGATTTCGAGAAGTAATTGTGATATTGTGCTTAAGTTGTTACGTATGTTTGTGTCAGGGCGCCGCAGCCGGTAGCCAACCTCGGTCTAGGCGCGGCCGCGGCCGAGGTGGTCAACTCCGAGGACGATGAGTTTGACGCCTACAGGAAGCGTATGATGCTCGCCTACAGGTTTAGACCCAACCCCCTTGTAAGTCATACTCATGAACCATCCGGTGTTTTATACTTGCTGTTTCTTAGTCTGGGAGGAATTAAAAATTAGTAAAAAAACTACCTTTCGCCCGCGACTCCCTCCGCGTGGAATTAAAGAAACAAAAGTAGTCTATGTGTTATTCCGGACTATTCTCTGCATTTATATCAAATTTCATTGAAATTCGTTCAGTCGTTTATACTAGAAACTCTAACAAACATCCATCTAAACTTTCGCATTTATAATATTAGTAAGATTAGTAATATTTATGTTTTAATCTATTTTGTTTTTCCAGAATAATCCAAGGCGACCGTACTATTAAACTACAGAAATATGGTGGTCGTTGTTTACATTGAGAAAAATTACTATTACTATCTCGGTACAGATATAAGTAAATCTTTAAAGACAGTATGTAATGAAAATAAATGTTTTATAGATATATAAGTGACAGTCACAATTGTGGAAATTATCTATTATGTGTAATTTATGTATTTAATTTTATTATCAAGTATACTTCCCTAAGGGTCTTAGAGTCCAAGTTAAAGGTTACTAAGCAAATGTTAATGCTGACCCACTGTGGGTTGACCACATATTTTTTATTTGTCTCTTAGTAGATATGTTGTTTTCCATCATTTGAAGAATGTCTGATAAATGTACTTAATGTGGAATCCAAAAAACATTTCTTAATTGTCGGGATTCGAACCCACAACCATAAAATGAGTCAAAAGTTCATTTAAAATATTACAATATTGACAGCACGGAATTAAAAAAGTAGCCTATAATGTACCCTTCTATGTCAGCTACCCTTCAGTGAAAGTCCGGTCGAAATCGGCCCGGCTGTTTCGGAGATTATACGCAACAAACGCGGCTTACAGACAGACAGACAAAAAAAAAGTTATAAATGCGATTTTCGTTATTAGTAACGTAAATATATCGTCTTCCTGAAATCTTGAATCTTTTTTTAATATTACAGACACTCCAATTTTACTATTTGTAAGCCATCCTTCAATACTATTTAAAAAAAAATGAGATAATTATTGTACAAGTGTCAACGAAAATGTACGGTAAGAATGATGTACTTTCATTACTTCAAAAAGAATATATCGACGGGTGAAAGGCCATTTCAACCGCCATTTTAGGCGATAATGACTTACATGTAATATATCCAGAATAGGTGATTTTTTTCTGCGCCGTTAATAAATAATGCAAAATTATAGTAATTTTAATCTAAAATCCGTCTGAAAATCTTTCAATTTAAATTATTTTTAGAATTTGTTTTTATGCTTTTTTTCTTAAAACTTTAAATGGCTCTCCTGAACATTTAACCTAATGGAGCTTAAAAAAATAGCCTTTCACCTATCGATATTTTACAGCGTGTATGTTTAAAGTATTTAAAGTCTTTTCAGTAGATTTTTTCTTTATAGTAAAATTAATTTTGAAAAAAGAAAAAATCTTTTAGATAATTTAAATTAGGTTAGGATTATGGAAATACAAATGTTTTTATAAATAAATATTAAATCAAAATAACGTGTTTTATTTCAAATCTTGTTGGATTATTGAAATCACAATGCTTGTGAATTTTTTTTTCTAACTATAGTGAGCCATTGTTTTAAGCGAAAATTAAAGATGGCGCAACTCAAGATTTACTCACTCAAGATAGACCCCTGATGTGTTCGAAAACTGTCGGTCGCTAGAGCATAAAACGTGAGTTAACCGTATTTAGTTTCTCTTATGAAATTTTTAAACTTGTATATGTTAGGATTTTTTGGCAGTGTGAATACAGGCTACACATTCAGTTTCAACTGAACAGGCTAACTGTTTATATAAAACTGAACTAATAGTATTGTACATTCTACGAGAAAAAAAAACTTTTATTTTTTTACAATCAACGTTTCCGACTACGAGGTTATATTCAGAGGTAATAAATATATTTACGATTTATACGTAATATTGATTTTATAGTTCAAGGATATTTAAAGTAAATGTTTTATAAGAAAGGTTTACTTTTAAACTTATTTAATTTACTATCGAATTCAGTTATGAGAGAAGCGGCCAAGCGCGGAGATTAACATGAGTTAAAATTAGATACGGAGTGACAAAATATTTCTGGTACACGTACGTCGTTAACAGGAATGTTTTCATAAATAACACCGTATATTTTGTAGATAATTTACCATACTCAATGTTATCAGTGATTTTGACCATGAATGCAGTTAAAAGTGACTTCAAAAACCTCGAATATAGTTGCAGTGAAACATCAAATTTGTCCAGTTCCTCAGATAGCTCGGACACTCCGTTGAAAAGGTTTGTTTAACTACGTATTTCGCAGTACATACAAAATAACCTAATTTACATGATTTTTCTCTCTATAGAAATCTCTAATCATCTATAAAAATGTCTTGCAGAAAAGTAAGATAAACGTGTCAAATTGCATATTTTAATAATGTCAATAGACAACATAAGCGTGCAATATAATGAAAGTTTCGTGATACATCACCTTGTAAAGTTTTATATGAACAAAAAGCGTAAATTGTTTACTCAGTCCGAGTTAAGAATTGATAGCTCCAGTTGTTTATGTTTGTACAAAGATTATTTATTGTGGGATTTCATTTACAAGATACAAACTGAAAAAAAGATACTTTATTAGGCAAGGTGTGTGTGATTTGTTGATCAAAGTATGATTGTGGAATGGTTCTACACATTTTGCTTTGCAATTCGAAGTATGAAAGCAAAACTAACTAAATCGTAATCTTTGTTATCATATTTGGTAGATTTTTAGTTTGAACACGGCTTAAAAAGTAAACGGGGTTACGTAGAACAATACTAAAAGATTTAGCCCGCACAAAATTTAACAAAAAGAGTAAGAATCTTATATGTTCTAGACTATCCTCTACATTTAATGCCAATTTTCATCGAGATCCGTTCAGTAGTTTAGGCTATAAACATTCATCCATTCAAACTTTCGCATTTACAATATAACTAAGAAGTAAGCTGTAACTGTTTTCGTCGGTTGGACGTATATTGTAGACTTAATATTACTGCGTCTAATTTATATTGTACATAGATTCAACCGACTCGTGCGCAAGTCGGTAGCGCGCTGGGCGTACTTCCGTCGCAAGCCTCGGCCGTGGATCCGCGGCCGCTCCGTCTCTGACACCGGCCTTTGCGACATCGCACATCATGGTACCTAACCTATAGATTTCATATGTCCAAGTAAATACCCACTCAGTGTAACGCTCTTTAGATGTTAAGGGAAAATTCTATGAGATAAACTATACATAGTTGAGCACGGGAGAAGTTTCTTTTTAATAGAAGTTTAAAGGTGCGCTTAGTTACGTGTATGTGTCAAGTTTAAGATAAAGTAAAATTATTTTAGAATCCAATTATTTGGACCTTGGACACGGAAAGCATCGATCGCTGCTGGTTCTGGATGGGACAGGTCGTTATGGTGTACCCTCTTTATGTATAACGTGAGTTCCATTTTAACTCTGGTTCGAGTTTGATTAAATAGCTTAACTGTAAATTAACGATACGTTTTGAAAAAACAAAAAATGCTTGTATATGTTGTGTTTTAAATTGCAAAAAACTAACGCTATAATTATTTTTCTTAATGGAAACATAATCTAAATTGTAAGTCTAAGTGTGCGTGTGTGTGGTTAAAATAGGGCCTATAAATGTCGGCAAATTTTATGAGTAACCTAACATTTAACATTTTAATTTTCGTTCTTATTAGAGTTTCAATTATCATAGAAAATGTATCAAATACAAGTTTTTTTAACGCAATAATACTCTATGACAGACATGCAATAATTAAAAAATATAGAAATAATGTAATCAAATTGTGCCGCTATTTTACATACATATGATTCTAATCAATATCTTGCGCAGTGTACCAGTACGCATGTTTGTCTGTATAGAAATTGGTTTAAGGGACTTTAGCTCTTAAAATGTATGTGATAAGGGAGAAAATAAAACGAATTACCGGTTACCCAGATGACAACTCCAAAGAATGTAAGGGATGAAGACAGTGTTAACGCGAAATGTTTTGTGTGTTGTGAATTAGGAAATGGATTGTGTAAATTAAATTATGTTTAATCTCAATTAAAAGGCTCAAAAGTAACGCTTATTTTATATATTACAACATTGCGATGTAATTGTGATTTTTAACAATTACGACACGTGTGTAGATTGTTGGTGTAATTTGTTTTTTCAATTATTTTACTTATTAAAACACAGTTAACATTCTTCCTCGTGGTTAATTGTTTAAAACGGACAATTTTGTTATCATTCAAAACAAAATGGCTATGTAACGTCATTACAGGTTAGAAAGTTTTTTTTATAAAATGTTCATAATTGGATTCGATTTTTAATCACTATCAAATTTTAATGCGCTTTTATCACAAGTTAAAATTTAGTGAACTGAAAACACAAACAAATTGATAAACACTTATGTTAACAATGTTATTTTTCTAATTTGAAGGATATCCCTCTAAGCCTGTCGCATTGAAACTAATTTAATACGCCGCAGAGTGATGCATCTAAAACATATAAAAAACAGTGTTATACAATAATCCAATAAATTTCTAGGTCATCTATAACTTGAACTAACAGCCTGCGCCTAGTTTTACTTCACTTTTTCAAAAGCATCCGATATAAGGGTGCTAGAAATTGTTACAATTGGAAAAATGGTGTATTTTTATTTCGATTGTTTAAATACAGTAATGAAACGAATCGAATGTGAATAGAACATTGTGAAATCGAAGTGTTTATTAAATTTCAAGTCATTAGTCGCTTCAAGAGAATATTTCGGTAAGTGATAATTGATTAAGAAATTAAAATAATAATTACTCTACATTTTCATATTTGATTAAATTTTTATACAAATTTCATATATATTTCGTAGAAAATGATTTCATTTTAATCATATAGTTCGTAATATTAACACAGATAAGAAATAAACGTAACAAAATTTATTTAATCTTACATTTATTTTACTTATCGATTCTTTTCTAAAAAAAACCTAAGTCGACGACTTACATTTATTAGAGAAAAAAAAAATAGTATTTATAATTAAGTTATCAATAGATATTATGCTTAATAGAAGCCATAAAACTTATTTCTAGGTGGATACAGCATGACGTATTGCAAGTTCATTGCGATAGTTGACCATTGACCAGAGTTAGACCCTGCTTCCTGCTTTTTGAAACATTATTATGCCAAGGTATTGGATACGCTTCGCATACGAACGAGAGTTTTCTATTCGTTGTGTTTTGATAGCTTCAATGTTTACTGATCTTATGCTTGAAATCTTTTTTGTTTTGAGTGTGCTTTGTAGTAATTTATCATTCTCTAATTTGTAAAAACTATCCATTTTATTAATATAACTCTACGTTTCCATAAGTTTATTGACAGTTCTCTTATTGTATCATAAAAAAAGATATATTTTTGTAAAAGTTTTGTCTAGTGGTATTAACGGTTATAGAATGATTAAATCGAAGAGTAAATGGTCCTGCGATATTATGCCCGGTTTACACTTGGCCAATACAGTTGGACAGTTGCGACGACCACTCATAAATTGCATAGAATCAATGGCGTCATTTAACATCAATACTATACCAGTTGATTGGCAATCCAGTTATAGCACTATTGCCAACTGTACTGGCCAAGTGTAAACTGTGTAGGATTGAACGACGATTGCTGACCGCGTGTGTACTAAGTAACTTATTATAATTCAAACAGTGTTATCGTTAAAACTATTGTTAGCTTCTTAAATCGACTAATAACTTGGTAATGTTAAAAATCTTTTCAGAAATTACGTTTTACGAAACATAGTGTTAGAACTGAAATTGTCTTATCTGTAGAGATTTCAATAGTGAAACACTAATGTTAACCTACATAATAAGCGATGTCGCAATGGTTTATTGCAGTGTTGGCACTTGTAAGTAATAAGTAGGTGTGATTAAAATGCATATTATAAGTGGTGTTAGAGACTTGCTGAATAATCTAAACTTCTAATTTCTAACCTACAAATAGAAATTTGGTCGTTTATGGATTAAAAATCAAATGAAATTGAATCCCAAATTGCATATAAAAGTGCAAGGTAGTGCTTTCCTATTTCACGTTTTAATTTAGGTACGTTTAGGATATACAATTGCAAAAATACGATATAAGAGAAACATGGAAAATCTAAACATTATTGTTCTATCTTTTGTAAATCTTACTAATATTATAAATGCGAAAGTTTATATGGATGGATATTTGTTAGAATTTGTAGCCTAAACGGCTAAACGGATTTCGATGATATTTGGCATAAACGTAGAGGATAGTCTGGAAGAACACATATGCTACTAACTTTTGTTTATTTAATTCCACACGGACGGAGTCGCGGGCGAAAGCTAATATGTAAATACAATTAATAATAAACTCTATGTAGAGTAACACATGTTAGATTGCACGCAAATGTGTGACAGAGTATTCGAGCGTATGTACTTT